AACCACAAACCTAACTGCATTAGAACATGAAAATTGAACTTCAGATTTTAGAGGAGCATGAAGCAAATTGGGATACTCTAGAGAAAACGTTGAACCTAGATAACCTTGCCATCGATGGAGAACGAAACATTTCTCTGTTTACATGATGTTAAATTTTGAGACATCTTTTGTATTACAGTTGTATGGAAATGATTTACGTGCTGTAGTAAACTGAATTTCATCTATTAATCATGCTTATCCGACTATTCAAAATGATTGCTTAGCACAAGCATTTAGCATATATCATATACTCCCAATGAAGAAAAATTGTGTTTTATGTTGTACCTAACTTTAATTGTATCCTTGAGCTTCCATCATTGTTCATTTATTCAATAAAAAGTTACGTTTCTTGTTAAAAAAAATTGTTTCTCTTGGTAGTTTCCATTACTTGTGGTCCTCGGTAATAAAAATTGTTATCCTTGACCATGTATTTCCTTCTTGGTCTTAGATTCGTGGCATACAAAGCTTAATAATGTATTCCTTGCCGGAGAGGAAAGAGTTTTACCCTGAGGTAAACATGATGATTTTCTACTGAACTAATTATTAATATTATTTTACACCATATGTTTGATTTCATATGACATCCCCACTACTCTTCAGATTGTAAATATGCTTGATGGATCCGAGAACATGACATGCAGAGTTATATTTTCTCCTTTTGATCATCTCCGGGTAAGTGTCACTGTGCTGTTGTATTAGAACTTGTTTGAGGTTGATATTACGAATTCTTTTACATATCCAAGAGGTTTGAGTTTAATTCAAGATGTCATCTTGATGTGCGAGTGCTATATACATTATGCTATTACTAACAGTTGCAATGAGATCCCTGTTTCTTTCATTTTTATTAGTTTTGAATTTCACATGAAGAATTAACCGTTTTGAGTTCTTTGAGTAATCCTTCCTGGTATAAAAGACATAAAAAGAATGTCTAAATCCAGGACTAGTTAAACGAACATCGAGAAGTTACTACTTTGTATGACAGTTCCCAACTCTTGGGATTCGTGGTATTTTTTACGAACTTGGACTAAAAAAATGGAAATTGTCTAGGTTTTATGTCAGTTGTTTTGTAAGTCTATTTATTTGAGGTATGACTCAATTGGTTAAGACATATATTCTCAATCAAGATGGTCAAATGTTCGACACTCCTATCTCACATGTTGAACTAAAAAGACGTTGTCGTTGGAGTATAAAACTACTTAAGTGGCTTCAAATTACCGTTCGTCCCTTCCGCCCTTGCTCTGTTATACTAACCTATTATCAATTTTATGTTAGCTGGAGAGAATAGTTGGAACCGTGCCAGCAAAAAGGATGGGGACATCAGATAAAAATGTCTTTGTGTTTTGCTAAGCCCACTTTTACCAGCCAGCATGCTCGCTGAAGGACCGAAACAGCCATGTGATGGTCTCTGCAAAAGTAGAGATGCGATGTCCCTATAACTGCCACAACATCGGAATCTCTTCGCGGCATGGCCCAACAATTTTGACTCAATAAGTTCTGATTTTTTTTTTTTCTTTATCTGATTATTATTTGTGTATTATGTACTTTTGAGATTTTCATTAGGTTTATGTACTCAATATTGAGGAAGAAACTAATGATTATGTAGGCTTAAATCTTTGATTAACATTATGATTCCAATTAACTATCTGTCTAAGGAAAACAATATTTTGATTTTCTCTTGTCCGTTTTGGTTTACTATGTTTCGTCGTCAGTCTCACAATTTTAAAATGCGTATATTTAAATAGAGGTTTCCATACCTCTTGTGAAAAAATATTTCATTCTCCTCTCCGATAGATGTGAGCTCTCACAATTTTTCATGTCTCACACTAAATAAACCATAGAGATCGAAAAGACTGTATAACACTGTGGAGCACGTGGGAGGTTTGCAAGTTGTGTTCATACAAATTCACAGACGGTAGCTATGGACGCAAGAGAATCTCCGTTGAATGGTGAGGCTGTTGACACAATTTGCATTATAATGGGAATGGGAACGGGAACGGGAGTGCGAATCTGAATCTGATGGGGTTTGAAAGAGGCGCATATGGAAAAATGAATTTTTGCAGGTTTTGTTCCCCATGTCAATACCCAGAATCTATTCTCCATGGATAAGATTTTCTCCATCAGAATTGTAGCCCATGGTTGACTCCATCCAGCTTAGGCGGAAGAACATTCTCGAGAGGCTAACAACACAAGCTAGCTTTTTCGAACCTATAATAGTCAATTGCTGATACTCCAACCTTCGTAAATACATACACGTGAATATGAGCTAAGAATTGAATTGTGAATTCTATTTGAGTTATTCAGGTCACCAACCCGAAATTTTAAGTTGATTTAAAAAAAAAAAAAAATTGATTCAACCCAACTAAACTTGTATAGACTCGTACCCTGATATCCCACGTTGGTCAAAGAGGGGAAGGGGAATAAAACATTCCTTAGAAATGAGTGGAAATTTTTCCTTAGTAGACAGATTTTTAAAATCTCGAAGCTGACGACGATATGTAACAGGTCAGATAATATCCGGCCTCGAGTTATTACACGTACCCCATTTAAAAATTGATTATTTGATTGTTAGGGAGGACCTTCCTCAAAGTTTGGTTGTTGGTCTCAATCACAAAGGTCAACCCAATTATTCCTTTTTTGTTGATTTTGTCAAAAAAAAAAAAAAAAAAAAAAAAAACTACAAATATTTGATTATTGTCCTTACCTTTGCTCAAAACATGATTTTTACGGATCCAATTTCCTACCATTAATCATTCAAAATAGACCAACTAATTAATTACGACTTATTTTTAAAGAAAAACGTTCATCTCTACTCTAATTGACGGTCATTTTATCAGTTAGGCACAACTGATGACTAAAAACAATCATATATGGAACAGAAAATTAACGCAGTGGTAACCTAAAACGATAAGATGGTGACTCAAATGCAACTCTAGATTAAGTATGAGAGAACGATATTTAGAAACGTTTACGAAAATTGAAGATAATATTGCAATTGTTTAAAGAATAAATGTATATTTTTAAACAAATAAGAAATTTAAGAGTTTTTTTCGAGTGATTTAGCCTAAATATTAGACTTGGTTTTAAAATTATATTCTTGATTCAGCAAAAATTAGGGACCAAAGCATGACATTGAAGAACATGTTGGCCACAAGCCCATAACAATGAATCTTTTTATCTCCCAACCCAAAAATGAGGAGAACAAATTCTCCTCTCACCCATCCCTACACAACATAAACATCTAATGAACAACAAACATTTTATGCAAATATATCTACAGACAGAAGAAAGAATCCATTATAATCATAATTTGATATTAATTACTGAATATATATTTTCAAATTTTAAAAATACTTTAATAAATTAATTCTTTATATTTGATAATTTTTTTAATTTTAAAGGGTGTTTCAAAATAAAAGGTTAGAAGGGTGATTAAATATTTTAATTTTTTTTTAACTTTATTATTTAAAAGAAAATCAGATTGATTTTTATAAGGAATTTTAAAAGATAAAGATAATAAAGAATACTGGAATCTTATTCTAGATTTTTGTGATCCCGAAGAATCCATTTACGAGACAACTAGCTACGAAAAGTTTTCTCTCATTTTATAAACACCGCTCTCTTTTTAGCGGCCTATAAATACAACAAAGAAGATAGCGTTTTTTTGTGAAGCCTTCGAAATTTGGAAGAAAGATTTGAAATTTGTGAAGATATTAATGAGTTGGAGAGTAAGTATGAGCCAAGGATGACTTGCCTTGCATTTGTTCGAAGCTTTAAAATGCAAAAACCAATCTGTTCGGGAAGTCATCCTTGGCTCATTTTTGCTCTTTTCACTCTTTTTCCCCCTATAATATCGCTATACTACGAGAAAAATGTGACTGAATGTATGTTGAATTGCTCGAGTTTGACTTATTAACGAATGTCGTGAGAAATGTGATTGAAAACGCTACAGATTGTCTAGTTTATCGAGTTGGTCAAGGCACGAGATCGCGTCCCTTATGATCATACAATGTGGGGACAACTAGAAGCTCATTAACTAACATTTAATAGTGCACTGTCTAGATGGTATGCATTTGTATTAAAGTAGTTGGTAGCTACAAAGTTGCACCTGATATGTAGTACCATTTTATTAAGTTTTTGTGTGTGGGAAACTGTCAGGGTATCTCTGTGAGATCCCACATGGATTGGAGAGGAGAACGAAACATTCCTTATAAAGATGTGGAAACCTCTCTCTAGTAGACGTGTTTTAAAATCGTAAGACTGATAGCAATACATAACGAGCCAAAACATTTCAATTAGCGGTGGGTTTGGGTTGTTACAATCTCAACTATCTTCTAGCAGTAAACTTGTCTAGATAAAAAAATGGCTCACATGGGTATCAGAGTACTTAGTAGACAGGAGGGTCATTCCCTCACGATTATAACTACTGTACAAGACTACTAGAGATCGATCAACTAATTTTTAACCGTGAACGGTCCAAATTAAATAGAACCAGAAAAAAAAAAACAAATGAATTGTGCACCTTTTTTAGTATGTGTATTAATTTTAATTATAATTTAATTTATATGCTTCTAAAAGTTTATATATATATATTTCCATTTTAAGAATTAACCAAAATGCAAAGAAAATAATTTAATTTGTTGTAAAAAATATTTTTCTTAATTATTTATTTATTAGTATTTTCTTACCTTTCATTGAATATAACCATGCTTCTATTCATATAGGAAACAAGAAACATATATGTATATTTAAAATTTATTTACTTTGACAATTTATCTAAATTATAATTTTTTTTAATAAAAAACATATAATAATTTTTAATCCAATCCTAATATAGTTTAGTGTTTGAAAATATTATAATTATGATAATAAATTTTGATTAACTCCGATTAAGTTGTGAAATTATGATTATGGCGTATTTTATGTATTTTGTAAAATTAAAAAAAAATTAAAAAAAAAAAAAAAAACGTCGTCTTGATTCTGGAAAATGTTTTGCATATGAAACTAGAACGACCTTTCTACGCCGGCTCCGTCCAACCCTCCGCCCTGCCACATTTTTTTACACAGAAGAGATGAGAGAGAAGGAGCGGACAACGAAGCGTTTCTGACATGATAGAAATCATAGACACTTACTATACTAGTTAATAAATTATCTCCATTCCTGCGCGGGTATATGGATGCCTGATTCTTCCATTTCTTTTTTCATTTTTCATGATTTGGATCTTGAAACGGGACGGGCGAAGTTGTAGTACTTGGCCATTGATTCGTGTGTCGAGATCATTCTGTGAGTATGATTTCTTAGCTCATTTCATCTTTGTTGCATTTGGTGTTTTTATTACTGAATTGAGTGTTCGGATTCCGATTTCGTTTTTTCTTTTATCACTTCCCATTCTATCTCGTGATTTGTAGTTTTGGATTGTCTGATTGCTGCTTAGGTCTCTTGTAGAGGAATCTAGGCTCTAGATTTTCTTTTCTTTAGTAGTTTTTTGTGATTTGTTTTTCTCCGCGAGTTGACTACTGGTATTGGTGTGCTTGCGTCGTCGATTTGAATTCATAGCGTTTTTTCGTATTATTAGGTCCAAAGTCGACCTACATAAGCGTTGGGTTGGTTTTGACATTTGGTGGTATAGGTTGGTTTTAGTTGTTGGGAAGCTTCAAAGCTTTGAATGGACTATTCTTTTATCGTGTATAAGTTGTCTTACCTATGGATACTCTTACTGCTTTTACGGTGTCTTGTTGAAATGACTGTTGGCAAGTAACTTACTGTAAAAGTTTCTATCAGTGTACAGGGCTGAGGCCTTCTGTACTACTCATTAGGTGTTAACAATAGCAGGAAATTATGATACTTTTGAGTTCTATAATCATTTGGAGCTTCACGTTTTCCATTTAAGTTAATCAGATTTTCTTAAAAAAACTTGTGACAAAGATCTGTATATGTTATCAAATTGCAGATTTCCTTCATCAATCAGTTTACAGATTCTCTGGTAACTTTTGACATACATTTCTCTCATTGGAGAAGTGCATATTGGTAGATAGCAATCACAATGCGAATCGCTTAGAGATATAGCTGCAGTCCATTTTGTTGAAAATGAAGACAACTCAGGCGTGGATTCCCCAGGATATGCAGATTTTGCCAGGGCCTCGTCATCGTACTCATATGAAGAGGCCTATGTGGATTATCATTTTGGTTTCCTTCATCATTGTATTCCTTTTCTGTGCATACATGTATCCACCGCAAGGTAATAGTGCCTGTTACATTTTTTCTTCTAGAGGTTGTAAGGTCATTACGGATTGGCTTCCGCCTGCTCCTGCAAGAGAACTTACTGATGAAGAGGTTGCTTCTCATGTTGTCATTCGAGAAATTTTGAATTCACCTATTGTACCATCAAAAACTCCAAAGATAGCATTTATGTTTTTGACTCCTGGGTCTTTGCCATTTGAGAAGCTTTGGGACAAATTTTTCAATGTAAGTTTTTTGTTTTTTTCTTATCTAAGCTGTTTCTTCTTCTCGCGTTTTGCATGGTCTTTATTTCCTTGTAATAATTGATGGTGTGTGTGGTTTTTCATAAGCCACTAATAATGATGTTCATCAAGGCTTGGAACAAAAAGTGTGAAATTTGTTTCAAAGAAGGGGAATCAGTTGTTTAACATTGAATTGTTATTCTTTCATTGTCAATTCATTACTTCTTTAAATGTTATCCTCAGACTGATCTCTTTACCAAAAATTTATCATCTGGCAGGGTCATGAAGACAAATTCACTGTTTATGTTCATGCATCTAAGGAGAAACCAACTCATGTCAGCATCCACTTCTTGAATCGGGATATTCATAGTAATCAGGTGCCTTCAGTCACGCTTAAAAACTAAAATAGAGCTGTTAGTCTATTTGCCGTCAGATTGAAATCCCCAGTGTCTGTGTATGCTAGCCTGATGTTAAATTTCACTCACGTCATATGGATCATTCTTATCCTTTTTCTCATTCCCCTTTTTGATCTGAATGTAAATAATTGGACACTTAATTGATAACTATTGCAGGTGGTGTGGGGTAAAATTACTATGGTTGATGCAGAGAGAAGATTGCTGGCGAATGCTTTACAGAATCCGGATAATCACCATTTTGTTTTGCTTTCCGATAGGTGACTGAAATCTCGTTTTTTTTTTTCCTTTTTTCTTTCTCCCTTTCCATGGGTGGTATTGCGTTCTTATCCTCAATTTTAATGTTCCTTTTATTTTGCAGTTGTGTGCCTTTGTATAGTTTTGACTATATCTACAAGTATCTGATGCCTTCAAATATAAGTTTTGTAGATAGGTGAGTATCTGCCTTCACGCTTCCTCTCCGTGTGTTCATTTCCTTATGACTTGCATGGAATAGCTATTACACCCAACTTCTCTGTGAGAAAATATCTACACACACAACTCCTAGCAGTTGGTTACTTGTCAGATTGCTAGACCTTCAACAATTTAATGCTGCATATTGATTTGTTTGTAGAATATTTCTAATAGATGCAATTATTTTTTCAGCTTTAAGGATCCCGGTCCACATGGAAATGGCAGGTATTCAGAGCACATGTTACCGGAAGTGGAGGAGAAGCACTTTAGAAAAGGTGCTCAGGTACGCTCTGAAAATTTCGATCATTCATCCAACTTTCCACAAATTTGATTAGTTTCATGCTGCTCCTATCATTTTGTTCTTTTTTGGAAGAATCCTTTTGTACACAGACGGAAAGAATTAAGTGCTTTGGTTCTTTCATTAACGTCTGTGCTTGTCTGGGTTGCCACGCTAACTATTTGAAAATTTAATAGTTTTCTCTTGATTATTTTTAGTCATTTGAAATGTCGCAAAGCTTAAAGTGGTTTTGTTGGGTAGACTTAAGGATGCATTGATTCATACATCTGCCTACTTTTATGGCTTAGATTTCAGATTGAGATATTTCTCCCATGCGCACTTGTGTCAATTAATGAAATATCTTGCAAATTTAACCTCCATTTTCTTTATTTGTTCAGTGGTTCACCCTGAAACGGCAGCATGCTTTAATAGTTTTGGCTGACAATCTTTATTACAACAAATTTCGCAATTACTGCCAGGTGATTATAAACTTATTTATGTTACTGTATTTCTGTTGCAAAACTAGGAAACTTAACTATGTGTAGTTTTCTTTTATTCATTTTTTTACATCTTAGGGAGTAATGCTCTCTCTCTCTCTCTCTCTCTCTCACGCACACCACAGACACATTCATTAGAAGATAAGTTGAGCTATTCAGACTCCTCGTTTTCCTGTACAACTGAGCAAATTTTCTTCGAATAGGCAGACACAGTTTCTCTAAAATCAAGTGTACATCTGGGACCTAATAATATCTTCTCAATTTTCATTGGGTTTGACCTGTGGTAGGAATAGACTTTGAGAGTCTTTTCCATTCGCTCTTTCATCCGGTTGATATGTCCTGGTACACTCGTGTCAGTCCCTTTCTGAGTTCTCACAAGTCTGCAAACACTTATCCTACGGACAACCATTTATTGAGTTTGAGGTTATATGTTAGTTCCTTCAACCGATTCCATTTTTCTGTCAAGGTATTGCCTTTCAAAGCTCTGCTGAGGGGATATTTGCAATTTTTGTTACGTTGCCCGGAAAAATGTCAGGGGACTCCATCTTATTTAGTAGGTAGTGTGATCCCTGGTTTCCATAATTCTGTGAGGGTTGTCTTTTTTTTTTCTTTTGGTTTGTATATGCTCCAAATTAAAAAGCTGTCACCGTCCTCTCTCATATGTAATTATAAGCATTTATTGTCAATTATGATAGATCCTCTATCCATATGGTTACCAAATACCGACTTACAACCATATATTGATATGTATATTCTCATCTACAGCCAGGTTTCGAAGGGCGCAATTGCATAGCTGATGAGCACTACTTGCCGACCTTTTTCAATGTAAGAGTTTCTCCAGACACATCTACAGAGCCTTTCCCATATTTCTTACTAAAAACTTCCCCTTCCTCATCTTTTAGATTGTTGATCCCACTGGAATTGCAAATTGGTCAGTAACACATGTTGATTGGTCTGAAAGAAAGTGGCATCCAAAATCGTATAGAGCAGAGGATCTTACTGATGAGCTTTTGCAGAATATTACGGTATGATTTATTTACAGTTTCAATATTTTCACTCACCGATTTTCATTAGAAGCTCTAAAATGTTAGCTTATTCCAGTAATTTTTACTCACCCCTTATGATATAGCCCTACCATATGGTAAGGTGATGTAAAGGTGGTAACTGTTGTGGATGATTATTTTAATGGTGCTATCTTCGCAGTCAATTGATGTGAGTGTGCATGTAACAAGTGACAAGAAGGTATGCGTGTTCTTTTGTTAGAAATTTAGAATGAAACTCGGTTGATGTCTTGATCTAATTGTAGTTTTTCTGGGGCTTCTACAGAAAGAAGTACAAAGGTGGCCTTGCGTGTGGAATGGTTTGCATCGGCCTTGTTACCTATTTGCAAGAAAATTCTCCCCCCAAGCTCTGGATAAGTTGCTGTATTTTTTCTCCAACTATACGACAAATTGAGTTAGGTTTTTATGTTCACATATCTTTTTGAAGTTTCAGATTCTTTGGCATCAATAACTTACCAAGTTTTTTGTTCAAATCTGGTATTTTATTCAGTTATAGGTTGTAAATTCCTGTCTTGGGAAGGTTTTAATGTGACCAACCACCATTCCTGAGTGCATCAAGCTGCTTGCCGAGTGCCTAAGGTGATCTGGTAGGAAGCTAACAAGTTGGTGTTGCTTCCTCGGGGATGGGAGACATTATCTCTTTTTTACTTTCCGTTTTTTAGGATTTTTTTTTTTTTTTTTTTTTAATTTTTGGTTAGTGTTAGCACAGACGCACAGATGATTTTGAAGGAAGATTATTTCCATATATCTTGTTGTAATATTTTGTAAACATGAGGATCTGAACTTGCATCTTGCAATTTTTTACAAATATGTTATCTTTTGAGTTTCAAAGTATCATATTTCTGTGCGGCACTTCAATTAGAAAGCTGTGCAAACAGGAGGGACAGAAAGGTCAATTTGTCTCGAAAGTTTGCGAATGGACTAATTGCATTATCTGGTCTGTTAACTTGAGATGTCCAGAACATTTTCCTGCTCTGTTTCTAGTTTGTTAGAAACTGACTTTCAGGTTCGTCGGGCGCTTTCACAGACGATGCAATCTTTCTACCTGCAAACTCAGCTAACGGTATGTTAGTCCTGTCTTTTTCACTTTATGTAGCATTTCCCCTCTGTGATTTAAATATCTGCATGGTTCATTTGATGCTTATATTTTAGGCGCTCACATTTCATCTATGAATCAATTTCTATAATCTTCATTTTCTATCTCTTTCCAGATCATATGACCTTGGTGTGAACTGATACTTAAATGTCCATTGCAAAACATCAGATTCAGCGTGGTGATTCTGTTAGTTTCTCTTCCCATGTTTTCCTTTTCTAACGTTTTCTAACCTTGGCATTTTATTTGTCAACAACAGCCGACCATGATCACTACAAAGCCTTGGCATTTTATTTGTCAACAACAGCCGACCATGATCACTACAAAGCCTTGGCATTTGGCAACCAAGCCCATCCATCGCAACTCTTATTACAACCACCCTATGACCCAAATGAGAGTTGAAGATCAATCAAAAAGAGGATACAAGTTCAATTGAACGCTTTGCTTATGAGTCCAAGATATTGGGTTTGTGGCCCATTCAAATCTCATCTCTTTGAAATGAACTCACGGTTTGATCCTTTGAAATTAACAAGCTTCAAAATATTGGGTTGTGGCTTTCCTGGCTATAACCACATCAGTGGTTACAAATGCAATTGTTTTAATCAAGCCGATTACAAGCTGAAGTACCTACGCGGGGATACCTCAGAGGGAATTCTTGCTAAGGAATCAGGAACGTCTGATGAATGTAGTTCTCAATAAAATGCTACTTCAACTCCAAAAATTAAAGAGGAAAGGTTTTTAAAAAAATAAAAAAAATTATTTGAGTGAATGATGTCAGCATTCTTTTCCCTTTTTGATCCCTAATGATACTGAACTTTAACATGGAAGACCAATTGAAAATTCGGGTGTGGCCATATAAACAGAAAACCAAACAAAGGGCTTTTGATCATGAACAAATGAAACTGTTCTTCCGCCGGATTGATTGTCAACTACTTGGTGACTAAGTTAAGTGAAGATTTACTAAATTGGTTCAGAATGTTCAGATGGAGTGGATTGGTTCAGCAACTTAATGGGGGTTTTTTTAATCAATATATAACTCATGGATAGCAGATCCATGACAACAAACTATTGATGCCTTGTTATTGTACAAAAAAATATATATATTGAGAGAAGGAATATGCTATTTGGGTACAACAATGGGGGCTGGAGGGACTGACTTTTGAATAGGTGTACATTCCCACTCGCCTTCTTTAGTATGAGAATAAGTAAAAAACTTGGGAGCCCAAGTCTCACCTCTGGATGCCATTTCTCTTGCAAACTCCCTTTGTTTGTCTTCCAGGACTCTCTTTGCTCTTTTTGCTGCTTCCCAGTCGTTGCTCATAATGCCTTGGCTCACCTCACTCCATGCAACTGCTGATTCACTCGGCAACACACTCTGTTCAATATGTTCAACTCACAATCAGGTATGTGTACGTATACTAATTGATGTTCATGTTTTGCTTAATGAGTTAAGACATGCTTTGATCATTGAAGAACTTGAAACAAGTCCAGAGAGCTTTCTATGGATTTTGTCCAATTTCCATTCAATTATAGAAAGCCTGAATGGAGCACAATATGATGAAGAAAGTTGATTGTGGGTTACTTTACCCTTAGGTCTTGAACTGTAGGAGTTCTCAGCCTCCAAATGTTGTCTTTTGCGTTGTATATGATTTCAACTTTACCGCTCTCGATGTTCTTCACAGTGACAGTTCTGCAATGTAAGTTGAATGAGTACAGAGGAAATTGATAGCCATATTTGATGTTTGTTTATGTATTTCTGAGGAATCTGGAAATATTCAATATGGAATTGTTTGAACAGTTCGATTTTGAATTATGAAACCAATAGATATGTTCTTGCAATTATAAACTAATGAAAGATCTTAAACCAATAGATATGCTCTTACAAAGTAGAAGAACAATTAGCACAGAAGCTTAGATTACCTGTCCCATTGACCATTGATCTCGTAGAGAGGCTTTGATGAGAAGCTATCTAAAATTTTTCCTTTGATTGATCTAGCATTTCCTCCAAACCCAAAGAAAGACAGACCTTTACAACGTAACTCAGCTTCAAGACCAGTGTCTTGGCATGCAATTCTGATACTACCACTCCATTCAGCCGCAGGCGTTGGAAGGAATTTGAACATGAGATTTGGTGAATTCATAACATAAGTTTCTCTATGATTTGCAAGTCTCAGCTCTCTCTTACCACTGACTTCCACCTCTACAGATGTCCCTACAAAAGTTGGATTCAAACCCAAATATTTGTTTAGACCAACTAACTGACAGTGTTATTCACTGTGCAAATAACTTCTATCCCCAAACACAAAAGAGAGGAGATTAATAACAGCAACCCTCCACTTATGCCATCTATTATATCAAGATAAATGCAGATTTTAGGTACCATAGAATTTGGCCTTTGGCAGTTGACACCATATCATCTCCAGGTTTTCCTTTTCATCGGTAGCATGGAGCGCGCTCACCGGAGGATGATGTGAAATCTATCACAAATTTCCTAACAGAGTCAGTACAGAAACAGAGAGAGACAAAGATAGAGACAAAGTAAGAACCTGCTCAAGTAGGATATTTAGGGAGCCTGCTGAAGCATGATGGGTCTCCCCAAGAATTGGGTTGAAGGGAGCAATACCAAAAGTTAAAGGACGAAGAGTAGATATGTTCCATGCAACCACAGCCACAAATCTGTCTATTGGGTTCTTCCCATTGTTGCATTTCCGTAACATGTCCTCATTGAAGCAATACACTGATTCACCATAACATTGAAGTTGTGATTTTGGCATGTTCAACTGTGGGGGCACCTGAAATTTACACATACGACTCATACTTTTATCACCAAAACTCATCTTATGCTTGCATTTGTTTGTACATACAATAACCCATAAACTTATATAATTTTAATATAAATATTGATGAGGAAAAAAATAGCACTAACACAGTCAAATTTTGTTTCATTTCACAAATCTAAATATTAATATTACAAAATTAGTTTTTAGGGACAAAAAATGGTAGGATGTAATTACAAAGTCGCATAACATAATTAAATAAACAGTTCATAAACTTAGAGAGAGGGGAGAAAAGAGGTACCTTGAAGTGAGATAAGTCGGATCCTGGCCGTATATCTTTAAAGAGGCTTAGGATGCGTTTGAGCAAGTTAGGAGATCTGTAGTCGGCCGCATCCGATCCTCCCTCCAAAGATAGTGGTTTCGTCAGAGTAATTCTTCTCACCTCCCCCTCCGTGTCCACTCCCGCACCCTATTACATTTCCGGCGTTTTGTCAGTCTAAAAACTTTCTAACTCCCACGCGCTGTTAGGAGCGTCATTTTCACGCACATCAGTGCCAATAACAACAATGGTTTTTTCTAAAGGAAAAAACAAACAAACAAACAAAGAACTTTCCCACGTGCGGCTCTGACCGTTGATAAAAAGTAGCTTGAAGAATTTATTAACAGGATATTGGTTCTTGGTTGAACTAATATCTATAAGACATCTACCCGCCATATGAGACCACCCCACTTTTAACCCTTTAAAAAGAGCTTACCAAAAATAATAAATAAAAAAAAACTTAAATTTTATATTTTGTATCAAAAACATTTTTTCACTCCCAATAATATTCTTAAATTTCAGAAAAAAAAAATCTGCAAAATACTTTTATTATTTTGTTTATGATGGTGTGTGTGGTATTATGAAAATCGTTAATATTTTGTTTCAAAAATATTTCTAGTATTTAAAAAATACTTTTATTATTACCCTTCAACTATTTTAAAAAGTTTAAAAATATTTTATCTCTAATAATTTATATAATAAATATTCATAGTTTAAAAGTAATTCAAATATTTTAAAAATAATAAAAAAAAAATTTATAGTCCAGACGAAATCTATGCATTTTTTTTAAAATATCTTTTTTTAAGGTTAGAATTTGGACTTAAAAATAATGCTATACACTGGACTAAAAATGGGAGTCAAAATATATTGATAAAACCAGTAAGTAATGCAATACACGTAAGAATACATAAAAATTCTTTTCGTAGGTCTTTCCACTAAAAATCTTAATTGTAATTATATACACATATTAAGAGTAATTAATTCAAATTGAAAATTAAAGAGTTACACCTAAATCATAATAAAATAAGATCTAACCTAAAAGAAAAAACAATTCTACCTTGCAAAAACCTAACAATGTTCATATGTTACAAAATCGAGGTATTTATTTTTTCAAATAAGGCTTGAAAATAATAACAATAACAATAATATAATAATAACAATAACAAAGGGAAGAAATATTTTTCATTCCTTTTAGTACAGATATATTAGTTATTAACTTGGAATTTAAAATCTATCCATGGGATTTTTTTTATCCAATCTATATATTTAGTAATTTACCAGACAAACTCTCCCCCTCAGGTAACGATCTAAAAAAATGCAATTTAAATTCAATCGAATTTTATAATTATTCTAGTTTAGTTGATTTATTTTAAAATATACCATCACCTGTCTTTAATTTTCTTTTAAAAAATGACATAAATCTATAAATCTAGAGGCATGTGCTTGCTTCTTTTTTTTCCCTCCAAAATCTAGGGCACCAAATATCTCTTTACTTTTTATCATAAAAAGCAGGCTATAAAAATTTAATTCACGTATAAATTTCATGCAAAGTCTACAAGTTAAAAAAGGAAAAAAAAATAAATATAAACATCAAAAGTTAAGTAAACAAAACCTAAATTAAGAAATCGGCCACCATATTGTTATTTTAATAATGTAAAAAGGTGAAAAACTAGCCAGCCGCGTGAACTCCCCAATGCCGCTAAAGACGGCGATTCAATCAGGGAAAGGACCATTACCAATACTTAAATATTAGACGATGATTCCCAAGATTCCGTTTAAACCGGCCGGAAGACCGCTATCGATTTTCCTAAACCAGAGATAGACGCAGGCCGAGAAAAGCGGTTTTCAGTCGATTCGAGGTGGTTTTGTAAAATCAGCGATGATCGATCCACAATCGACACAGAAAAATCTCACAAATAACATCTAAAGAGAAAGAGAAAGAGAAAGAGAAAGAGGTACATACCATTAGTGGAATCGGTGACGATCGATGGTGCCTGAGTAGTCGCCGACGCCGGAAGTGTGCGGAGTGTAGATTCTTCGATCGAAAGAGATGAGGAAGAAAGAGGAGTCAGTTTAGGTGAAAAGTGAAGAGGAATCGATAGAGAGGAAAAGAGGGGAAAAGCGAGAGAGGTCGGTGTTTGTGCGTCGTGAAGAATAAGAATTTTAGCGATTTAAAAAGGGGATTGTCCAATGAGACGCAAAGGAAAGGATCAATAGAAGGCGCGGTGGTGTGAACGCCATATTATTCTATTTATTGCAAATCATTTACTTATTAAATATAAAATTAAAAGATTTTTTTTTTTTAATTTTAGAGATATATTAAACACAACTGCAACACTATCCTAAACTAAAATATAATTAAAAAATTAATAAAATTCTTAAAACTATTTTTTTAAAAAAAATCAACACTGTTAACAAATATATTCTAATAAATAAAAATGAAGTAAAATAAAACTTTAAGTTCAAAAAAACAAACAGTTAAAAATACTAAAATTAATTATTGTAACCATTTCCAAGAAAAATGAGTAAATATTGCCTTTTTATCAGCATTTTTAGTGTATGGTTAGTATGTTATAAACTTAATTTCTAAATTAGAAGGTAAAATTGTTTAGTAATTACCAAAGTAGAAATTGAATTATTAATTTTTAAAATAGTACATAATGTTTTATCCGCTAATCCATATTTAAATTTGTAGCCAATCTTAAAATTTATAATAAATAATTTTAAAAAAAAGTAATTTGTAAGCTAAATAAATCATATAGAGTAACTAATAAATATTAGAACAAAAAGAAAAATAAAACTATTTATTATATTATACAATTAAATAAATCACGTAATTTCTTAAAAAGGAAAAAATCACAATTAAATAAATTAAACTTTTGTGATTTTACTCATATACCCTACCAAAACATATTATGTCACTTAATAATGAGGACTATATCTGTAATTTAACATTCACAATAAACAAGTATTAATTTGACTTCTTCAATACGATAGAAAAGTCTGGTATAAAGTTACATGTTTACGGAATTACCCAATTACGCGTGCATTTAGCTTTTGCTTCTCTTTTCCGAACAATTTGCAATAGTCTCATTCACACGTGGCTACCACTGTCGGCGCCGGCGCCGGAGCCTATCCCGTTTGACCTTTTGGTCTCCCGCCAGTTGTTGAAAGTAAGCCAATCTTATTTGACCACGTGTCAATCGTATGTCACCTCTTTTTTATTATATTAATTGGATTGTTGAACACGCATTTTGATGTCTTAATTATTAGGTTTTGTATTTTCTGTAATTCTTTCTAATATTGATTATTTCCATAGCGAGCCATATAATTACTCCATCTTTCTTCACCTTTCTTTTATATTAAAATTAAAATTAAAATAATTTCAGTTCAATTATAATCACTTTACCATTAATTAAACCTAATATTATATATAACATCGGTTTATCATTATTTTATATTTCTATTAAGATTCTATTATAATTGGTTAGTTTTTTTATTTTAAATACTAATCATGTGAGATACATTGGGATCGACCCCACCCATAAAGCTGATGGTCTCTTAGTTGATCACCATACTTGCCCGGGTCTAAGTGTAATAATGAGGCTTAGGCCTTGAAGAGAGTCACTCTGAAGACCCACAAATTAGTTGGAATGAATCAACTGAATTGGTAAAATTTAAATTTAATATAAGAAATATATCAATCAACTGAATTGGTAAAATTTAAATTTAATATAAGAAAGATATCGATAGTTCATTTAATACTGTCGAGGCTCACTTAATTTTCGAAATTCCAAAAATCCTACCATTATTTTCAACCGAGATTAAGGGCCTTTTTTTTTTTAAACGACCAATATAAAATAAAGAGAAGCGACCATTTGGAATGGTACGTCCACAACAAATCTCAAACTGTCTAGTCTATGCTGCTTGCCAAACTGAAGAATTTGATGGAGATCGACAACCAACGAGAGTAACGGCTCAAACATCAATCCTTTGGTAGAACTTATCCAACCTCCGATGGAACCCACTTGACCAAAATGGAAGAAGTCAAAACTAAAGAACAAGTATGGTGCGCTGCTAAACGAGGTTTAGAGAATTAATCAAAACATAACTAAGATGCTAGGAATCTTACGCAATCCTAATCCAATCGACTAAGGATCCCCAAGACCAATCGAAAGTCGGTAAATCAAGGGGTAACTTGGACGTGACCAACCGTTTGTCTTGGACCTTGAAGGAAACCATTCTGTATTACGTAACCATAAAAAAAATATATAGCTCGAAATGAATGTGCAACGCATATTCATCCTTAAAACGGGAGAAGTAGACAACTTGAGAAAACAAACTTATAATTAGACTTGTGTGCCCTCACGAACTAAAAGAGGAAATAGATAAAAGATGACGAGGCAAAAAGTAGATCATAAGTGTATGCGTGACAAATAATATAAGGCTAGTTAAGTGACACGAATATTGTATAAGACACTTCTAAGATAGTAATAGACATTATATCTATTAAGTTAGGTTTGAATTGATTATATATATATATATATATATATATATATATATATATATATATATATTTAATTTTGGAACTTTCAAACTATCAATTTAATCTTGAAATTTTGTTTTTTTTTATGAATTTAATAAATAAAAATGGAAAATTTGAAGATGCCTATAAATATAAAATATAAATATAAATATAATAAATAAATAAATTAGAAATTTATGGAATATAAAATTAAAATTTTATATAAATTATATTTTTAAAGTTTTAAACCAAATATATATTAAATTTATAATTTAAGAAAAATAAAGTTAACAATTCTTTGCGTTCGTCACGAGGTAAGAGAGAGAAGGAGGTGATGAGATAGCGATAAAAGAACAGGCCGTGCAAAGCGAAGCAAAGATGGAAGCACCGCTTTAGGGTTCAAAATTTACAGATAAGCCGTCTTTAACTTTTTTTTCCTCTTCGTTTCTTTTCAATCGAGGCAGAGAAAAATTCCTTCCTTTCTTCCCGCCACCGCCATTCCACCGTTCTCCTCCTCCCTTCAGACTCTCCGGAATTAGGTAATTTAGTTCATGGTAATTGTGGTTTTTGTTTATGTTGCTGCTTGGTTTCTTTTTTCATATCTTCATTTTCTTATCCCTAATGATGCGTTTTTGTAATTTGGGTTTTTTTTTTCTCATTGCCGTTTTAGTGTTTTTGTTGTTTCGCATGGTTCAATTGTTCAATAATCCGCTCTGTTTGTCCCGGAAGTGAGGGGATACGAATAATTGTGGGCATTGAGGGATGTCAATTTAGGCCTTACATCTCTCTCCATGCGAACATTTCTCGCTCGTCTATGTAATCTTAGAAATTCCTGGGTATTACCTTATTCGAATAGGTTGCTGGCATTGAACAAGCTTGTATTTGACTTAATTCACCAATAAAATCATTATGTCTGGATACATTTTTTTACCCGACTTCTCATACAGCTTCAGCTTAATTTTCCCGTGGTCATGTTGGTCAGCTTTTGCTGAATTGCCCAAGAATGACTTCTATTTGTCTGTCTCTTATACGGTCACTATGGTGTGAGATCCTACCTCGGTTGGAGAGGTGAATAGAACATTTTTATTGGGGGTGGAAACTTCTCCCTAGTAGACGTGTTTTAAAACCGTGAGGCTGACAGCGATACATAACGGAACAAAGCAGACAATATCTACTAGCAGTGGGCCTGGGCTGTTACATATGTTCTCGTGTATTCTTTAGATTTTGCATTAGGTTTCATGGGTATGATGAGTCGCTCATATTCTTGCATCTGCTGTTCTTTTTTGGTTTTCATCGCAAAATAGAAAAAAAAAATTATGTGGGTATTCTTGCATTTGTCGTGCTTATTTTGCTTTGTTCCAGAATTGAGTGCCACATTACAGTTGACATTAACTTCATGAGAATTATGATGGGGCACTTTTCTTGTTGTGATTACGTACACAACCTATGATATTGTATCTATGGCTTATTTCTATCCATTCAAATTGATAGTCAAATTTGTTTACTTTTCTTGGAGCCTCTTTCTGGGCTAGGAGTTAGGACTAATGCAAGTATTTGTACTTTGTTTCATGAAATTTTATGACAGGCACACACATGGCATCCCAAGTTGTTCGTGAATGGATTGGGATTAACAACTTCGCACCGGCTACACAAGACAAATTACTTGAGTTGCTTGGAAAGCTGAAGCAGGAGGTCATATACTCATACCCATATGTCGAGATGACAAAATCCATATCTACATGATCTATTTTTCCATTCTGCTTTATCTGCATTTCATTTTTTTCACAAACTCTAAAGATTCATTTACTTTTGATATCTCTCTATAGAATGTTGCCACCTTGACGGTACTTGTAATGGGAAAGGGTGGTGTTGGAAAGTCATCCACTGTGAATTCCATTATTGGTGAAAGAGCGGTATCTGTTAGTCCTTTTCAGGTACTCATTAGTAAATCACTTCACTTGTATTTTCGTTGATTCAAGTGTACAGAAGGTGCACAATTTGATTTAAGAAATGAAATATTTATAGTCAGAAGTGCCAAGGCCTGTGATGGTTTCTCGCTCGAGGGCTGGATTTACATTAAATGTCATTGATACACCTGGCATCATAGAAGGTGGTTATATCAATGATCAGGCACTTGAGATCATAAAACGGTAAGTTTATTTATTATTATTTTTATTTCAAATTAATTATTATGATATAATCAATTGATGTTTACCCTTACTTGTATATCTTTATCCTTCTTTTTTGGGATTTCTTTTGGGGGTTGGTGAGCAGCTTTCTTTTGAATAAGACCATAGATATTCTTCTCTATGTGGATCGCTTGGATGCATATAGAGTAGATAACTTGGAAAAGCAGGTTATTAGGGCCATAACAGAGAGCTTTGGTAAAGCAATATGGAGTAGGGCTTTGGTCGTCCTTACTCATGCTCAATTTTCCCCACCAGATGGATTACCATATGATGAGTTTTTCTCCAAAAGATCAGAAGCTCTACTGAAAACAGTCCGAGCGGGTGCCTCTTTCAGCAAACGAGATACTCAGGTGGCTTTCGCCATTTTTATTAGTCGTTGTCAGCAAATCTTGAGTTCCATTTTGTTCCCTTGTGCAGTTTTTAGTTGTATGCCCCGTCTATGTGAACAGATTTTTAGTTGATAGTATTCATTTTATCACGCTAGATATCTCCTTAGAAAAATCAACTCCAAAGGGTTGTGAAAGGAAACATCAAGCATTGAAAATTAAACACGTGCAAATAGCTTAATTGTTTGAGTGAGATTACTTAAAGCACGTGAATAGCAGAAATGCATGACGGTCACTTTTCGGGTTATATCTTCATTTTTCTGTTAAAACTATGTTTTGTTGCCACTGTAGAGGACAAAGTGAGCTATTTTGTTGTTGGCATGCTTAAAACATGCAAGTGTTCTTTGATTGATTACTTATTTCATAACAAGTGGCTAATGCATTCAAGGATTTTTGGTAGTTAGTTTGTGAATTCTTGATGAGTTATAACAATGGCATTTAATGTCTTTGATCTTTCTTTCAGTAAATCTGTAGTATTCTGGAATGAGATGAAACCATGTCTTCCTTTTGATCAACAAAACCTTACATTCATTTATCTGTTGTCTCGTTGAATGATAAAAATATCTATCTAAATTCTATACCTTCTAGGTACCGAAAATTCCAGTTGTTTTAGTTGAGAACAGTGGACGGTGCAACAAGAACGACAAAGATGAAAAGGTTCTACTTCTCTCTTCTTAAAAATCCTCATCAGAATGTTTTCAAATTAATGGTTTTGAATGTTCTTTTTCTCAATAGGTTCTTCCAAATGGGACTGCGTGGATTCCTCACTTGGTTGAGACGATCACCGAAGTCGTGTCGAATGGAAGCAAGTCTATTTTTGTCGATAAGAAGTTGATCGAGGGCCCGAACCCCAATCAAAGGGGGAAGTTGCTGATTCCCCTTATTTTAGCTCTCCAAGTATGCATCTGGAACTTAAGATTTCTATAGTTTTGCCTCTCTCTTTTACTATTCAGGGATTGAGCCTCTCTATTTGCTTCTCTTTTTGGCTTGTTTACAGTATCTCTTTGTCGTTAAACCTATCAAGCAAGCAATAATAAGTGACATATCGAACGAAAAGAGACTGTCATGGGAGGTAGACGCATGAGACGAGCTTGTACGACTGCAAGTAAAGTAGCGATTTGGCCCCATCAATATTCTCAACAATGAATATGGCTTTTCTGTGAGTTAAACTCATTAGTCTGTTGTTCGTGTTGAGTTCAGTTATTGTCGTGTTTTGTAGAATTTTGAATTTTGAGAGATCCGAGTTTCTCTATTATGCAAATTCGTGCACGCTGCAACCTCAATTCGGGTACTCATATTAACTTAAAAGGATTGCATTTCTTTCCTTCCGTTTGATCCTTACCTAATCCTTGTCACTCTCCAGATGACCATCATCTTCCTTCCGTTTTATGTCACCTTATTCTTCTTTGTTTCTCTTAGAATTTTTCTTTCATAGATTTATAAAGATAATTTTTTTGGGTTCTTTTTTTCCTGTTAAATATAAGTTGTACTAAATTAAAATTAAGGTATATGAATAAAAATTAAATTAAATAATAATTAGTATTTTAATAATGTAACTTAAACAGAAATAAAATAGTTAAAACCACATTAATAATCTAAATTCAATAATTTAATAAAATTGTTGAAATTAAAGTATATGAATAAAATTAAATTATCCTCTTTAACAATTTTTCTGTAGGCCACTATTTCCACGGTCAAATTTCTACTGCTGCAAGAGCAATTCTGAGACCCATATAAAAGATTAAGAAGTATGTTCAACAATATTACAATAAAATACAAGGAAAAGAAAAGAAATGTCATGCATGTGCATTATAGACTAGTTATATTTATTTCATATAATGAAAATTAGAAATTAATCGGTGGTTCGATATGTGTTCGATATGTACTAACGATGCATCCCGTCCAGACTCGTTTAAAAAATCAATTACAAAGAAACCTTGCAGGAAGGAGGAAAGGAAAATACAGAGATGTCCTCTTTAACATGAAGAAGCTAAACCCATAACTCACTACTAAACACCGCTGTTTCAGTTTATACAGACGGGATCCCTCGAACATGCTTCATAACCTTTTAAGTTGTTTGTTTAAAGAAAAAAAAAATAGAAAAAGAAAAAACCGTTTCCAGCTTCAGAAAGGTTCATGAGCTTACAGGTTCTAGTCCATGTGATTATGGAAGCCTGGGAGAAGGGAAGTAATAAAGCCAAAGACTATCATTTGGATTTCCTTCACCACTCCCCACCAGTTAAGACCACCATTTGCAGCACCAGGCTCTGCTACATTCTCATTTTCAACAGCTCGGTTCTCTTCATTTCCAAGTTGGTTCTCACCCTCTGCCCCCGCTCGTCCCTCTGCCATTATTTGTAAGAAATTTGGCGTACAACTCAAACTTTACAGATAGATGGAAAAGGAGCTAATTGTAATTCATAAACCATGGTTATGTGGTATTGAGAAAAAAGGTACCTGCAAAAGCAGCAGCAGCAATCGCAGCCTCTTGCCCTGCAGCTGGAGCAGCAACCGGAGCGTTCTCTGCTTGAACTCCTGGTCTTGGGGGATGGGGAGGTGCAGCTGCCCTTTGCATGCCTAGTGAAAGCCGTCGTATCAATGGTGTAAGCGCTCCCGTTTGATATCTGTGAAATGCCCAAGAGAGGATCGGCTTAATACATAGCTTCACTAATATAAAGACAATAAAATGTCAATCGGGAAAAGAGCATATAATACTTGTCGAGACCTATTAAAGGATAGAAGCAAACGGTCGGTCATTTTATGTTATGTTTATCAGAAATCATACAGAAAGTAAGGAACTAGTAATAGTTAAATAATACGAATACTTACAGATAGACTATTGAAGCACAAATCACCAGAACAATAAGTCTTTGTCTTGAACCATCTTGATGAACAATAAAAATTACAGCAGCAAGCTTCAATATGAGCAATAAATCAATCTGTATTGCAATTTGAAATCTTCTAACAACTTGTCTTTGAGGTGCTGGTTGCTGCTGTTGTGGCTGTTGTTGTCCTCCTACTCGCCCATTCTCCTCAGCTGCTGTGCCACCCTCAGAACTTGTTCTATTACTGCTATGAGATCTACTGCAGTATAAATAAATAAAAATATATCACAACACATTTGAGCAAAATCTCGTTCCAAGTAAATAATCATCACACTGAAAACCAAATACTTGAAAATTACAAATGATAGAAGTAAAAAATTTCAACTCGTCAAGCATTTTCGTTGGTGAGAAAAGATGGGAGGTTGACATTCAAAATGATATATATGATGTGTTAGTTCCTGGACATTATATCAAAATATGAAAACCATCTTCATTAAAGGTTGTTGACTCGAGATCATCATAAAATTAGCTTGTATGGACATGAGAAGTTTACATGAAAAACATCACTCAAACTGGGAGCAGAAGCTTTTTAATTGTCCAGTGTTAAGAACTGAATCAAGTATGTCAACATGGGATAGAAGAAGGGGGTTATACAGGTGAATCCCGTAAGCTAGAAGGATAGTAGTTAAAAGTAAAGCTAGAAGAGTGTTCTGTAGTAAGGGAGATTAAAGACCTCTTGAACGCCTAGGTAGCTTATAACTAATTCATTAAATCAAAACGAAATAAATGGCAACATGTTTTGCTCAATCAAATCCTTATTGAAACATCAAAATGTCATTCAATAAATTATCTGTTTTAATTCATTTTACAGAATAGTGATAGAGATACTGACGTGGGTATGCTGTAAGTCAAAGGAATAAGATTGTTAGTTGACATTCCAATAACTGGGCCTCCCATTGATGGAAAAGCAGGAACCGCATAAATACCAGCTCCACGATTTTGATTATCCAAAGGAGCTGATCCAGGAACAAGTGCAGGATACATTATTGGAATCATTTGCACACCACCATTTGGAACAGTGGGGAAACTGGAAAATTTGGGAACCTGAAACCAGCATATAAAGAATTTAGAAAGAATCATGTCTCTAAAGTAAACATTTGCACGGGCCAATGTACGTTAAAATTCAGATTGCCAGAAACAAATCAGGAAAACACTTTTTGATTAGATACGTTAAAATTTTAAATAGCACCGTGTCACAGGCCAATGTAGTTTCTACGGAACCACATGTATTTAAACTCAGTTGTCAGCCTCATTCTGTCAGTTGCACTAGAGTTTACAGGTTGTGCCTTCATGTTAGATAGGACATCCGTATAATGAAAATCATTTTTTGGGAAATTAATATGTTTCCCTGATAGTTATTTTCTTCCTAGCTCAACATCATTTGGTACCAAAGCAAGGTTCTTGCTTGGACTGAAGGATGCAACAAACCGAATAAAAAATCACTATTAACAGAGTTGAGCTGCATGATGTTATGTTCAATATTTAGCAGCTATTTATACAAAACAAACTGTGTTATTTTGTCGTGTAGACCCTCTGTAGAGAAAATTGGAGGCACAAGGATTTATCTCATGCAAATTAAAAGGCCTTCAACCAAAAACCAGCATTCTACGGAGGAAACAGTCTATCACCATAACTCTATCAGATCGATCCTGCAACAACTTAACACATGAGTTGCAGAATCCGATTTCGTTTCATTTGCGAGCGAACAAACTGTCTTGATAGGTTCAGAACATTCCTTAATAGTAAACTCTGAAAAGGGGACGGACCCGGATATTCATGCACATCATCAAACACCTAAAAAATAGATAACTCAATTGGCTCCGAACCTTCAAAGAGTCTCTGCAACACTCCACAAACTCATCTTATAATCAACATTTAAGACGCAACGTGCTCTCTCATACAAGAGTCACTGTGACCTGAATTCCAAATTTTACCCAAGCTTTCGACCCTCCTCCGACAGTCCATTGTGAAGGAATTGTCCATTCCCAATTTCAAGTAATTCACACATCTTAAAAACTTTTCCCTCCAAATTGCAAAATTAATTTCTAGAGCAAATTGCAATGTACGAGTTCGCTAAAACTCACACGTTTCCCACATTCAATTCAAAAGGTAATGCGATAGCGGTGTCAATACATAAGAGCATACACATAGCAGGTCAATTGTAAAGGTAAACAAACCCTAAGGAAGAAGATTAACAAGAAACCTCCATTAAAGACAGTCAAAAAAGAAAAAGTCGCCTGAAATCGAAATTCTCCGGTCGAACTAAAACGAATTCGCATAAACTCAACCAAAATCGAAAATAAAAATTGGAAAAAATCCTGGACCTGGGCGCGTTCAAGATTGTCATCCTGCCATTTCAGAGCAGAAGAGGGTTGAGAGCTTGAAGGGATCGCTTCCGGTCCTTCCGCCATAGGAACTTGGAAGTATATCAAATCAAATCAAATTCCAATTTCTTCTTTAGCACACTCTCTTCCCTTCAACTATCGAAAATCATTATCTCACAATTAAACTCCAATTTCTTCTGTAGGCGAGGCAAAATGGCTTTATAGTTCGACAATCGTGTCTTCACCAATTGAAACGCGCCACGTCAGCATCAAGTTTTACAGCCATTTTAATTGTTTTATCGAAAATTTTCATCTACATCCATAACCACTAAATTTAAAATAAATATTGAAAATAATTTTAATTTTTTAATGAGTAAAATTATGAATTTTTAGCAATTTTATTTTATTAAAATTATTCAATTTATGAAGAAAAAAAAATTACAGCATTTTATTAAAATTAGTGGATGAATTAACAAAGTATAATTTAATGAAATTATAAGTTAGAGATAATATTGCATGAAATGAATATGTTATTTTTTTAAATAAATAATTTAGGCTTAGAGGGGTAGATCGGAAGTTAGAGTGAAATCGGAGGGGTAAATGAGGAAAAAAGTGAGAAGAAAGACAAAGATCCAATGAGTTTACCCATTGAACTCGGGTTGCGTGTGACGTGTTCACCAGTGTTTGAAGACAGAGTTTTTGAGTGGGCAAAAATCAAGACACCCTCTCAAAAATTAAAGCTAAGGTAAAGCAAAATTCCCACTCCCAATTTTCTCTGCAACTCCTTAAAGCTTCTTCTTCTTTCTTCAAAATCTTCGCCCTCAAGATCTCCCTTTCTCTTCTTTTTTCCAATCACAACAATGCCTATCAATACCGAATCTACGCCGCCTCCCTTGATCGGAAAAATTGGCCCTTACACCGTGTTCATGACCCCGCCGTCCACTCCTTCGCCCGCCTCTCCGCCGCAGCCGGTTTTCGAGTCCCCTAAGAAGGTCATTCAGCCGCCTCCTGTTCAGCCTCCGCCTCAGCAGTTCGATAAGTCTGTTTCTGTTGATACTGTGGCTAATGGGAATGCCTCCGTCGCTGGATTCTTTAGAAATGCGGTCTCGAAAGTGCAGAATGGTAATTCTTATTATTTGAACTTAATGTTGCGATATTGAAGGTCCAGGAGACGGAATTTAGAGTATGATTTTAGTGTTTTTGCTTGTGGAGCTACACAATAACTCCTCTAGAGAAATTGATGAGTTGTTGAATGATGGAATTTCGTGATTTCAGCAGTGTTTTAGCCCTATTGCTTCATGTGTTGCCATTGTTCCTTTTCTTTTTTGTTGTTGCCATTATTGGTAACAAGGGGAGACATGTTTATGAATCTTAGTACTCTCACTGTCTTGTCTTGTGAATTTCTTCTCCAACATAATGTTCTTCTGTATTTGCTTCTTCAAAGTTGGTTTTCTTGTCAAATTTGATGACAATCTCTCCAACCGTCCACTGCCCGTAAATATTGTCTTTTTAGACTTTCCCTCGAGGTTTTTAAACGCGTATATTAGAAAAAGGTTTCTACACTCTCTTTGGGACTTTTCCTTTCAAGCTTATTGTCTTCTTTGAGCTTTCTTTTCCAGGCTTCCCCACAAGGTTCTAAAACATGTTTGCTAGGGAGAGGTCTACACTTTTATAAGAAATGTTTTATTCTCCTCTCTGACTGATGTTGGACCTCACAATTCTGCTAGAGAGAGATTCTACACCCTTATAAGAAATGCTTCGTTCCCCTCTCCCACCGATACGGGATCTCACAATCCACCTCTCTTTAGAGCCTAGCGTTCTCACTAGTACACCTTCTAGTGTCTGGCTCTGATATCATTTGTAACAGTCTGAGGCTACTTCGTCAACCTCACAGTTTTAGAATGTATCTACTAGGGAGTCTTATAAGGAATGCTTCATTTCCCTCTTCCATCTCTTTGGTATGCTCTCCACGTGAATATGTGCAAACATGTATACTCATTTGTTAGTGAGAATTGTGTTCTTGGTTGGGACATCGAGGGAAAGAACAGAACAAAAAGAACAAAATTAGTGGCAAACGTTTGCTTCATAGCTTAAATATTTCTTCCATGCAGCTTTTTTTTTTTTTTTTTTTTCTGTAAACAATCAAAACATAAAGTTTTTGGTGCAATTTTGCAGCACATTCAAGCTTGGATGACCATTTGGCTCGCTGGTTCGGGTTAAATCAATCCAAGTACCAGTGGGCGCTAGATGACTATTACGAGAGCAAGGGAATGGTATGCATCTGCTCAAATTCATTAGTACTTCAATTTCATATTCTTGTGTATTCTTTTCTGAAATTTAGTGTTATTTCTCCTAATTCTTGAACATTTATACTCGTTCATTTCGCTTATCCATAGTCTATTTTTTTGGCCTTTTCATAATTGAAACAACCACAATAATTTATTGAAACTGCACACGAAGTAACTTTGAAGCGAACTTTCACTACCATTACATGAAATAACTTTGAAGTAAGTGTCTCTGTAATAGCCCCAGCCCCAGCCCCAAGTTCATGCTAGCAGATATTGTCTTTTTTAGGCTTTCTCTTCTGGACTTTCCTTCAAAGTTTTTAAAACGCGTCTACTAAAGAATGTTTCGTTCCCTTCTCCAACCGATGTAGGATTTGACAGTCTCTCTAACTTCTTCACTTTTTCGATTGAGTGCATTTATTTTCATCAAATACATAGGGTTAACTTGTGGAACCTATCTGTTGAGAAAGAAAAGTAGGATGAAGAGGCTAACTGTGCTGCGGACGTGTGATCGAAGTTAGCCCTTATGCTTCTATAGAGTGAAGGGAAGCAATATTATATACATTTCTTGCTTGCCTTTGCTGAATTCTATGATTTAGTGCATGAACAAGAACCCTATAGTTTTTTGCTTGGAGAGGGGACAAAGTATTCCTTATAAGAGTGTGGAAACCTCTCCCTAGCAGATACGTTTTAAAACTTTGAGGGGAAGTCTAGAAGGAAAAACCCAAAAAGGACAATCTCTGTTAGTGGTGGGCGTGGCCAGTTACAAATGATATTAGAGCCAGATACCGGGCAGTGTGTCATAGCGAGAATGTTGGGCTCCTAATGGAGTGGATTGTGAGATCCCACGGTTAGTTGGAGAGGGGAATGAAGCATTCTGTAAAAAGATGTGGAAACCTCTCTCTAGCAGACACGTTTTAAAATGAAATGCGCTTGTACATTGAATTCTATATTGAATTAAACTATGTATATATGAGATGTTGAATCATAGCATTCTTCTGTTACTGCAGGAAAATGGGGACATGAAAGCGAAGGAACCGTCGAGCAAAGCCCAGAGCGTGTAACAGGTGCTAAACATGTTTGGTTTTGTTTTGATATCACCTTTTGTTTGCTTCCAGAATCAAAATTATTATATGTTTGTAGGAACTCCTCATCTTTGGACAGTATAGAAACTATTTATACCTTATCTATGCAATGGCTGAACTGGATCTCATTGCTTATGAAACACTGATGAAGAGGTCGGCCATTATACGAAAATCGACAGAATTCAGTCGTGTTGTAGTTGTTAACCCGTGTAATGTTATGTATTGTCGTCGTCGTCGTCGTCTTCTTTTTCCCGAGTTGATTCATCTTTTGTTCTTTTGAAGCTGAACCTATGGCTTATGTATTTTGAGCTACCTTTTTTTGGTTATTTGTGGCATTGTAATGAAGGCAATGTTTGGCTACATCAATCCAAGGCAATGTTTGTCTAAATCAGTTGTTATAGTTTATAGAAATGATGAACATACATTGACTAAATTAAAATACGAGAAAATGACATTATTCTCACCACTGGTTTCAATCCTTTTTGTCCTCAAAGATATATTGTGCTTCTAGTGGACTACATCACTGGTAAATATTGTCGTCTTTGAATTTTCGTTTTCGGGCTTTACCTCAAATTTTTTTAAACGTGTCTATTATCTTATAAAACATGTTCTGTTCTCCTCCTCAATCGATGAGATCTCACGAATGGGTACTTACACCCTAGCTAATCCGGCTGATATTTCAATTGGACTTAGCACGCCTCTTTCTGCATAAATGGTGATGCTAAGTTATTTCCTAAAAGCCCAAAAGGTGTGTATATAATCAGTTTTGTTGTGTTTGAATGTTATTTAGTGGTGCATCTGAAGCTTCTTTTGATCTTAAGTTTGTCATTAAAGCTCGGATACCGTATTTGAACTATATAATTTGAAAAAAAAGAAATAAAAAGGAAATGAAACTGTTGACTCTGATGTGAATCTTTCCTTTGCTGGAGACTCTGATGTATGTCCCAAGGTTCAACACCACAACTGTCTGTCTGGAGTACGTCGATAATGTCAATATCTTGGTCGAACAAACTTCACATAGAAGGGTGTGAAAACCTCTCTCTAATAAGCTCAGTTTTAAACTATGAGGCTGACGGTAATATGTATGCCAAAGCACCTACTCTATTTGACCCCATATGGCAAGGAAGCTTAAGAGCTTAGTTTGAACAAGCAGGGGAGTTTCCACGCCCTCGAAGAAACAGGAGGTACACATCTTCCATGTCCACCCCTCGCATCACACACTCATTTAAACCCTCACGTGGCTAGATAGACGCCACTTAAAGGTCACCACATTGCTTGTAGCAACATTGTAAAATTTTATAATTGTAAATTTTTGGGAAAAGGGGACCTTTCAATTTCATATATTTTGGTGGCTCAAAAGTAAATCAAGATCGAATTGGGATTACAGAGAGCTTTTTATGGATGCATTATTACTGGTTTTTAACCCATTTTATCCCATCATTTTCAGATTAGATTTAACACAGCATTCATTAATTATTAATCTGTAAAATTATCACAGGCAAATTTGGATATCAAGCTATCTACGGCTAGCTACCAGAATGTGACTCAAAGATATGGACCAGCCCATGTCTGCCCCATCAATTCCATCACAGAGGCCTTGGGAGACCATCTTATGTGGCTCATCACATGCACTTGATCCACCTCTGAGCAAGCTGTGTTCATCATTCTTAGACTCGTTATTGGAGAGCAGGACCATTACTGCCTTGTAATCTATCTTATAAACATATCACATTATATGCTCCTCAAGCTAGAGTCGATCGGCATCGAAACACAAGCTTTCGATTTCCCGATCGTCTCTGGCTTACATTGGAAGATCTAAAGAAAAAATCGGATACTCATATGGGAATTTATCCCTTTGAATTATTATAGGTAATCTTGAACATTATCTATAGTGATAACATTTAAGTATTATAAAATTGATGAAGTAGTTTAACTAAGAACACTATACTGCCAAGTGCTATCTCTTTTTATTTTATAATTTTATGTTGTTACTTAGCCGTTGAACCAGCCGCCCTCTAAAGTCTTTTTAGGTTAAACAACTCCCACCTTTTTTAGTTGGGATTCTTTTTTATTTTATTTTAGTGAAATATTGTTGGTAATGAATTAATTTAATGCCGAGAGTTGGTTTAATATCGATCTAAATAAATTTTAATATATTAAATAAAATCACATCATTTCGCGAGAATAATATCTTTAAATTTTTTTTAAAAAAATTAAAAAAATTATTAGAGTATTTTTTATATTATAGCAAGGTTTTTGGAAGTGTATTTAATATAATAAAGAAAAAATGTTTGCCACAAATATTTTGAGGACATAACCATCCAACTTTGGAGCTTCCTTTTTTCTTTATTTAATAAATACCAAACACTTTAAGAGTTATTGAGTTGCTAGGGCTACCCTTTTGATGACACCTCCACATCTCCCTTTTTCTCATTATTATTTCTTATTCATAATTTAAATTAAATTTCCTTATTTTATTATATACTAGTGTAGGTCTATTTGGTACTCCATCACATTCCCTACGTTTTAATTTAAAATTTTTATAATTTTAAGTGCAAAATTTATTGATATTTTTATTAATTTAACAGAAGAAATATTTTCAATCTCAAATTTAAAATTGTCAAACTGCATAAAGTGGGGCCCTCAACCATAGCTCCAAAATTATATATATATTTATTTATTTTTTAAATCCTAGCCAGCCATTTTTTAGCGATTGGGGAAAAAAAACACATCAATAATTTAAAAAATGTATTTATTCCAAGAACCCCACCCCTCAATTATTAACGATTTAAATGCTTGAAAGCCCTGAATTTCATCCACAAATTTGTTGTTTTTATCTATTCATTTCAAATATTTAAAAAAACGTTCAATTTTCAAAGATTAAATTTTTTATATTAAGACTAAAAAAAATTGAATTTGGAATCAAATGGGTTACAAAATAACCATTCCCAAATATAGAATATGGTATGACATGTTTGGTTTTAGTTGGAATCTAAATAATACATGGGAGAACAAGTTGGCAAGAGCTCCAAAACTCTGGTTTTTTTTTTTTTTTTTTAATGATATAATTTAAAATCATATATTTACATTAAATATTTGCATTATTAGCAGTTCAATCTACTTCATATGTATACAATTTAGAGTGTCTCTATTTGTGTGATTTGGACATTGTTTAATGAAAGTTTGAAGCTGTGAATGTAGTGTTGGTTGTGGCCTACATTGAGTTATGAGGACTGATGGAGAAAGAACTGTCCCATTCATATTCTAAGTCCTCGAACCCCCAGAATTCATCCTTCTCTTCCGCTTCTTCCTCCTCCGGCATTTTCCACCTCTCCGTATCGACATATCGGTCCTCCATCACGTCGAGTACCTGTCAATACCCAAAATAGTCGATTCTGCTTAGCTTCGCCTTTGCTGGCGCTATCGTGAAAAAGCTCATCACATTTAAATTTGATATGATCCCTGTCGTCGGGGGGGGGGG